TTTTTTCTTTTTTATTGTTTTATAACTTTTTATTAAATTCAATATGAACATTCTCTAAATTATAAAACGAAAGCACACTTCCTCATTTTATTGGCAGAGTACTGTGTTTTCCCTTATGTGATGAAATGGGGGGAAAAGGATTTGTTTCAAAAGAAACAAAAGAAGTTGTAATAGTATTTTTAAATGTCACTGTTTGGATTAGGAATTTAGCTACAGCACACACCTGAACATGCTACTAAGTAAGTAGTTGACTGATTATTTTCTATAAATGTGTGACTCAGGAAACATCTGTTTCCTGTTGCTACAACAGGAAGCTCTGGTGCCTGAATCTGTAGGTAGTTGTAATACTAACCCGAACGCAGAGCCCATCAGCTGCTCCAAGGGGAAAAAAATGGGCAACCTTCTGTACAATTTACAGGTTCAGAAATCCCGCTGGAGGGTCAGCTATGAATTGATTCTTACTTGATAGCAATGAGTTTGAAGTTGTCTTCATTTCTTTAGCACATTCAATATTAGAAAGCAATATGGAAACCCTAGATAAGGTCTCAGGAGAGAGAGAGGACTTATTGACTAGGGTTGTTTTTTTTACATGAACAAGGTTATAAAGCCATGATTAGTTAACAAATTAGTCAAAAGATCCATTTCTGCAGGGGCCAAGATTGTTAATCAGCCCTTCAAGTGCATCATGTAAATCCATATAATGACTGGGGGGAGAAATTTTGACTGGTCTATAGATCTGGTTCCTTAGTGGGAAGGTTATTGTTCTGCCAACCCAAAGGAGGTGGTTTAAATTCACCAGCTTCTCCAAGGGCAGTTTCCTCTTGTGAGATTTACAGCTTCTAAAAACCTGCTGGAGGATCAGTTATGCATCAGTTCTACCTCAAACACAATGAGCTGGTTTTTTAAAAAAGATCAAAACATAATGAGGCTATGCACAAACACAGATTTGAACCTCATCAGATGGGCCACTTTACGGCCAATAGTAAATGAAGGGAAAGAAGTTTGTGAACTTTGGAGACCTCTCTGGGCATCCACTTTAACCAAGTCCCCTCAGATAATCAAGAGAGTAGAAATTCTTTTAAGCCTTGGTTTAAAGATAATTTTCTTGCCTTAAGAATAAAGAATTCAAACATAAACCCATGAAACTTCTTCTTAACATAATAATTTTACTTTGCTTCATTCTGTGAGGCAAAAAAGAAGTACTATCATTCTTGTAGGGAGTCCCAGTGGCATGGTGGTTAAGCACTGAGCTGGTAACAGAAAAGACCTGGAACTCTACTCCCATAAAGATTATAGCTTTGGAAACCAAATGCGGTAATTCTACTCAGTCCTATAGAAGAAATACAGGATGAGATTAATTCAACAGCATACAATAATAATATAAACCTTGTAAAATAGGGGTGGAGGGTAAGATGCTTAGGACTAGAAATCACAAGGCTTTTAATCTATTCTCTGCTGGTGTGGCTGGCAGGAACCATACAAAAATCTTCTTTTATAAAAACAATAATGTTCTTCTGACTTACTGTATGATATTTTTGTAAGATTAAAAAGGAGCATATCTAAAAGCACTCCATAACCCACAAAATGCTGTACAATTATACATTATAGTAATGATTAAGCCTAAGTCTTGCCTAAACTTTGTCATCCCTTGAATCTAAGCATGTGGAAACTTTCTAATGAAACTCATCCAGCTAACATTGTACACCCATCAATTTGGGAGAAGGGTCATTCTATTAGTCAAAACTAACATTACTAATAGCTATAATTTATTAATTGCTATGTGCCTTGTGCTTTGAAAATTTATTTCTAATCCTTCCAACAATTCAAAGAGACACGTATTATTACAATTTTACTGCTAAGAAAACTGAGGCTCTAAATTGTCAGCTAAGTCACAGGATCACACATTGGGTAAATGAGTAACACAGAATTTATTCAAATCTGAATTTCTCTAATGCCAAAGCCCATATTTTTCCCACTGGATTGTATCACCTCTTTCTCATTCCCCTGCCTCATGAAAAGTGTTTGAACCACAACTTGGGGTAGAGGAGGGAAAACCTATAAACTAAAAGCCTCTTGTGTTAAAATATATGACGCCCATGAAGTATAAGAATTCTGGTGCAGCATGTTGTTGAGTGTTTGGCTGCCTACAAAAAGTCTGTGGTTCAAACTTGCTAGCCACTCTTCAGGAAACAGATGGTGCAGACTGTTTCTGTAAAGATTTACTGCCTTGGAAATCCTATGGGGCAGTTCTTGACTGTCCTGCAGGATCACAACAAGTCCAAATCAATTCAACAGCAATGGGCTTGGACTGGGTTTGGGGACGTTTGGGAGGGGTAGGGTAAGAAGAGGATTCTATAAAGAAAAGGGCATGTTGAACAAGGAGATTTTCTTTTCCTTTTGAGGGAGTGTGGACATTGTCAAACAGAATCATATATATCACATGCAAGCAAGATTCTGCTGAAGATTATCCCAAAATGACTGGAACAGAACATCAACAGAGAACTGCCAGAAGTGCAGGCTGAGCTTAGAAGGGGTTATGGTATTAGGGATATTGTAGCTAATATGAGATGGATCTTGGCTGAAAGCAGAGAGTACCAGAGGAATGTCTATCTGTGTTTCATGGACTATGCAAAAGCGTTTGATTGTGTGGACCACAGCAAACTGTGCCTAATTCGGAGAAGAATGGGAATCCAAGAATACTTGATCATGCTAATGTGAAACCTATACTTGGACCAGGAGGCAGTCAGAATGGAGCAAGGGAATGCTTGCATGGTTCAAAATTGGGAAGGATGTATCCCAGGGATATATCCTATTTCCATATCTTTTCAATCTATATGCAGAACAGATCATCCAGGAGGCTAGGCTCTATGAGAAATGTGGCATCAGGGTTGAAGGAAGACTCATCAGCAATCTGCGTCATACAGATGACACAAACTTGCTTGCTGAAATTGAGGAGGACCTGAAGTACTTGCTGCAGAATGTCAAGGATTGAAACCTTCAATATGGATTGAAGCTCAATATCAAGAAAATGAATATTCTCACCACTGGATTGATTGGCAGCATCAAGATAGATGGTGAAGAAATTGAGATCGTTCACAGCTTTAGTCTGCTTGGCTCCACAATCAACACTCTTGGCATCAACAGCCAGGAAATTAAAAGATGCATTGCGTTAGGAGAGTCTGCTGCTAGAGACCTCTCCAAAGTACTGAAGAGCAACAATGTCAGTCTGGAGACTAAGGTGCGCCTGATACAGGCTTTAGTCTTTGCAATCACTTCCTATGTGTGAGAGAGCAGGACAATGATTGGGGATGACAGAAGGAGAATCAATGCCTTTGAGCTGTGGTGTTGGAGAAGAGTATTAAATATACCATGGACTACTAAGAGAATGATCAGATTTGTCCCAGAGAAGGTTAAACCAGGCTGCTCCTTGGAGGCAAGGATTCTGAGGCTTCGTCTGACATACTTTGGACATATTGCAAGGAGGGACCAGTCCTTGAAGAGGGATGTCATGCTTGAGAAGGTGGAGGGACAGTACAGGAGAGAAAGACCCTCAATGAGATGGATTGATTCAGTGTCTGGGGTAATAGGGGTAGGTGTGTCAGAGACAATAAAATTGGCACAAGATAGAGCAGGGTTTAGGGCTGTTGTACAGAGGGTCACTATGAGTCGCAGGCGACTTGACAACAGCTTAATAGAACCTGAAATAACCATGAAGTCTTTCCTAAGCCTCAGCTTCCTCTTCTGTAAAACCGAGATACTCTCCTACATGATAGCTTTCAGCAAACAGAAAACAGCTATAAAGCTTTATACAAGGGAATTGTGTTGAACCTGTGATTGTTTTCACCACTCTATCAGTGACACAAGTTTGTCCTTTCCTTCTTGATAGCACTTTGTATTGTCCCTAGACTGTCATATTCCTTCCCCTCTTACCTTTATTGGAAGAATAATAGTTCTTGAACCTCACCTACTTCCTGTGTGTCTTTCAGTCTCACCTAAAGAAGCTGAGGTAACAATATGGTGATTATGTTCTGGAGGGAGATAGCTGGAGGGCTTTCTTCAATTCTTAGTAGACACAGTGGCAGAGGCCTTCAGAGGCACAAAACCTGCCGCTGCTATTCCACATAACAAAGTGGCTATTGGCAGATATTTCATTTCTGGTAAAGGGAAACAAGGATGCAGAGGCAGACCATAGAAGAGATCTTTCATAGGAGGCCCAGACCCTTCATCATCCTAGTAACACTCCAAGTAAACAGCTACCAACCTCATAAAGTCTCAACTAGAGATGTTTTTCTCTTGAATCTGTAGTCATTCACTGCAATTGTTTACCCAAAAGCTAAGGCTTATTAAAAGGTTCTTAATTCGATGGCTTGAATCAGACAGCTAATCCAAGACTCTACCTGATGCCAGGTAACCACTGGCTTGGCTGACATTTCTTTCACATACCATACAACTTTGCAACTTGGCCACAGAGCAAGGAAAATTAATCACCAAGGATTAAACAGCAATGATGTTATTTGGCTCAGAGATGCCTATTTTCATTTCACCATTTGGACACCATGACTAGTGAAAAAAAATGCGTCCATGGTAATGGAGTGGACAAATATGGCCAAGGAGAACCTCCACCAAGAGTAATGGAAAAGAAATAAACAGAAACAAACCATGTGCCTGTTGTCAGACAAAGAAGGGTAGATAGGTATTCAAAAGCACACAAGAAAAACAATAAGAATGGAGTCATTGTTGACCAACAAAAAAAATCTTGAGTTCAAGTGATATAGAATATAATGTTTGAGGTGAGTTTAACCCACAGGATTTTTTTTAAGCAATCCCATTTTGGAAAATGACTTCAACTAGAAAGGTGAAAATTTGATGTAACATTGGATTCCTGTTAGTGCTTTTAAATTTTGTATTCTTATTTAACATTTTTCACTTAAAAAGTACTAAAAATGTTCCCTCAAGAAAGAAGAACCTACACTGTATGTAGCTTCTTCATGTTGCATTTCTTCAAAGATTGTCAATTTAAAGTCATGCCGTAGAACAGTATATCCCTCTCCTGCCTTGCAGTACAAGTTAGAAAAAACACTTACTTGTTAGTAGATCACAAATATGTTTCAAATTTTGTTCTTTCATGAAAGAACTCATCTGTTTCTCCATGAACTTCTCACAGCGCTTTCTGAAGAAATAGCTCAGTGTCTAAGTCTTCACCCCAGGTAGATGGAAAGCTTGAATCTTAACTCAGCTTTTAACCAATATTGTCACGACAGGAAAATGACAGCTTTAGCAAAATGTCTTCTTTATCCAGAAAACAACAAAAACGTACTAAAATAAAACTACTACACACCTCTGAAGTAAATTCTTCTACAAGGTGCTGGTGGTGGGAGCTGGAGGGATCCTGAAGTTCTTCCCTGTACTCCTTCCCGGAAAGGTGGATGCTGAACTCTGCAATCTGCTCAACTGCGGGTTTGGTGGGTTCTTCCACCACGTTCTCAATCTCATTGCTAATCTGTATTTTAACCATAAAAAATGAAAATGCTATTATTTATTAGTTTAATCCACATATAATTATTGCTTTTCTCTGTCAGACAGTACTCAAAAGGCAACTTCTAATGACGATTCCCCCCCCCCCCTTTTCTCTTGTTGTCTGCCACTGAATTGAATCCGACTGGCACAGGAGAAGATTACCCCTCATTCTCCAGCAGAACATCTGGTGGATTCAAACCATGCGACTTCAGGATTGCAGTGCAGCTTCTTGCCATTAGGCCAGCAGAGCTCCCTTAATGATTTTTTTATATATCATATTTTACTTCAGCATCTACTTTAAAAGCAGTGAGCTTAGAACTTTAGAACGCACTGAGTGGATTTAAGGCATAAGTTAATATTCAAATGATGGCATTCTGATTGGCTCAGCAGCAAATAGGAAATTTTTAAATATTTTTTATTGATTTTCATATAATACCTTTATAGTATGTTTCATTCATACACATTGTTTTCTGCAATATTTCATTTACATTGTGTTTCATAGTCATTAATATACCTTCTATTTTACATTTTTATACTACTTTATTTATAAAATTCGAATACATTGTTTTTCACACCAGATCCTTCCCATTTCCCTCACCTGCCTATCAAATTGTATGACCCATGATTAATCTCCTCCCCCTCCCACCACATGAAATTAGGGAATTTTCTACAGAAAATTAATCATATGCAAATGAGTATACAATCATTCATTGAGTAATAAAATGATAATCAGAAAAGAGCCTAGAGATGATCTCAAGCTTTTCAGTTCCAAGACTCTATAGAACTCTTAAAATTTACTGAAGAACTCAAAAGAAGCTTGAATTATGTGGTTGTACCTACTGATATTTACTAAATAAAAAAGTGAGAGAGATGTTTCTTAAATATTTATCTATTCATTTAAAAATTAATAATTGCATTTAAGTCAGCTACTTTCAGGCCTACTCAGTTTGTGTCAGCTGGGCATGTCTCCAACTTTTGAGGAAGGTGTTCTAGAAGGAAAATAGATGGAAAGAGTAATAACAATACAATGGAGTATTACTAGCTCTAAAAAAAAGGAAAGGAATGAAGTATTCATATATGACAAAATATGGAAATAATATATTACATGAAAGAAGTCATTCACAAAGGACTGCATATTGTATAATTCCATTTTTGTGAAACTTCCAAAATAAGCAAGCCCTGGAGTGCTGTTAACCCAGTGGTAATTGTACTGCCAACCCAAAAGACAAATCCACCAGCTACTCCCATGGAAAAAGCTAGGTGATCTCCTCCTGTGTGGTTCACTGCCTTTGAAAACATGCTGGAAGTCAGCTATGGGTAATTTCTGACTCAGTGATATTCAACAGCAACAACAAAAAAAAACCCACTGGAGAGTCAGCTATGAGTTGGTTCCAACTTGACAGCACATAACCACAGACAAAAAAAACAGACCAGTGGCTGCCATGGATTGGGTTGGGTTGGGTTGGGGATTTAGAGGAGAATGCTAATAATCACTCTTTTTGGGGTGATAAAAAGATTATGAAATTATACAGTTATGATGACTGCAAGTCTGAGAATTTATTGTTTTTGTTAGGTGCCATCGAGTCGAGTATGACTCATAGCAACTCTATGAACAAAAGATCTGAACCCCATTCTATTCTGTGCCATCCTCACAGTTCCTGACACACAAGAGCCCATTGCAGCAGTCATCGTGTCAATCCACCTGGTTGAAGGTCTTCTTCTCCTTGCCAACTCTCCACCCTTTCCAGCATCATGTCCCTCTCCAAGGAATAGTGCCTCCTAGCAATATGTCCAAAGTATGTGAGGCAAAGCCGCACCATTCTTGCCTCTAAAGAACACTGTGGCTGCACCCTCTCCAAGACATATTTGTTTATTCTTATGAAAGTCTATAGGGTGTTCAGTGCTCTTCTCTAACACCACAGCTCAAAGGAAGCAATTCTTCATCTGTCATCCTTATTCATCTCCCAGGTCTCAGATGCATAGCAAGTAATGAAAAAGACCATGGCCTGAATCAGTTGCATCATCTTAATCTTCAAACTGACATCACTGCTCTTCTGTATTTTGGAGAAGTCCTTGACAGTGAACTTACCCAAAACAATATGTCTCCTTATCTCCCGACTGCTGATACCAAGAGTGTTGATTGTGATTCTAAGCAAAATGAAATAAATTAACCATTTCAGTCCTTTCTCCATCTATCATGATGTTGCTGACTGGTCCAGTGGTAAGGACTTTTAGAAGTTAAAAATAAATGCATAAAGGCTGTAGTCTTTGATCTTCTGCAACTAGCCTTCAGGTCCCCCTTGCTTTCAGCAAGCAACTTTGTGTCATCTGCATAGCACAGGTTGTTGATAAGTCTTCTTCTGATCCTGATGTCACACTATTGTCCATACAGTCTGCTGTCACAAAATATTTGTTCCCCATACAGATTGAATAGATTTAGAGAAAGGATTAAACTCACTGGATGATCAGTTGTGGATCGATTCCTGCTCAGTCATACACACACACACACACACACACAAATAAAAGCATCCCAAGATCACAAGTAGAGGAGGGACCCCACCATGTAGATGATACCGTCCTTTGTCATGTAGTTGGAGGACTTCTTAGTCAACCACTCCACCTGCTCAGGCTTGAGCCCAATGAAATAAAACGTGCCATTCTGGTTAGTGACAGTGCTGCCAAATGTGGGAGGATCTCTCCTTCTTCAGGTTGGAAATCAGTAGAGTCTGCAGTCTTCTCTGTCTTTCACTTCTTGCAACCATTGTTTTCAAAGATCAGGGGTGGTAAGAATAGTCAAGGCAATTGGAGCTCCTCTGGGTTGAGGGTTAGAATACATTGGACAGATCAAGAACTTCAACTCTGATATCACCCTTTTGGCTGTGAGCATCTGTGCAAACCACAGTGAAGGCCATCACAAGCTCACCGTAAAAGTCCGTGTTCTTGGTGTGTGATTAACAAACATCAGTGCCCTGTTGGGTGAAATTTCATATAGCCTAAGTATCCTTTTTAACATTTCCACTGGCAAAGCTTTGATATACCATGTCAAAGAATGCACAAAAAGTCTTTTTTTCATCAGTGTGGTTATTTTCTTCCATTCTTCAGGACAAGAGTCCATCCACTCCTGTGGGGTTGAGAGCTCAGATGTACTGAAGAAGAACTCTTTGCTCTGGCATTGTCCAAATGTCTTCTATAGCACTTGTGAAGTCAAAGCCACAAGTCGTGTGGTCCTAGTACTGATAACCACATAGTTCCAAGCGACATCCCTGAACATGGGTGTGTGGTTTCCCCAGGAAGACATCTTGGGTGAATTTAAAGAATCTTTGTAGAAAGCTAGCTCTGATCCATAAGGCTCAGGTTCCAGAAATGGTCTGCACAGTAATACAGTAGTCACTTTTCAATATTTCTCTATTTCCACCCAGGGTCAGTTCTGCAGACACCTTACAAAATTCTACCATTCTCCAATGTCCAGATTTCATTAGTAGTGTCACCAAGTTCTTTCCCTCAGGAAATAAAGTATATGAACATACATTATTCTACTTTATATAGGTTGTACATTTATCATATTATTTCTGCCTTTCTTGTATGTTAATGTTATCTTGAAGAACTCTGGTAGCACTGTGCATCATAAATTGGGCTGCCAATCAAAAGATCAGTGGTTTGAATCCACCAGATACTCCACAGGAAAAAGGCAGTCTCCTCACATAAAGATTCAGAACCTCAGAAACTTGATGTTAAGTGATGAAGAGTTGGAATCAATTTGATGGTAATATCACTAATATCACATGCAAGCAAAATCCCACTAAAGATTATCCAAAACCAACTGGAACAGTACAGAAATATAAGCTGGGTTTAGAAGAGGCTGTGGCACTAGAGATATCACTGCCAATGTTACATGATGCAAAGAGTACCAGAGGAATGTCTATAGTTGTTTCACTGACTATGCAAAGGTTATTTGACTGTGTGTCACAAATTGTGGCTAATTTTGAGAAGAATGTTATACTTGATTGTGCTCTTGTGAAACCTATACTTGGATAAGAAAGCAGTAATCAGAGGAAAGTAAGGAAACTTTGCATGGTTCAAAATCTAGAAGGGAGGTGCATTAGGAATGTCCCCATATCTTTACAATTTGTATGCAGAACAAATCATTCAGGAGGCTCACGCAGAACTTGATAAGGAAGAATGTGGCATCAGGATTGGAAGAATACTCATCAAGAACCTGTGTTATGCACATGATACAGCCTTGTTTGCTGAAACTGAAGCAGACCTGAAGTGCTTGCTGCAGAAGGTTACGGACTATTGTCTTCAACATGGACTGAAGCCTAACATCAAGAAGACAAAGATTCCCACCGACGGGCCTGTTGGCAGCACCATGATAGATGGAGAAGACTGAATTTCAGCTTGCTCGGCTCCATAATCAACATTCTTGGCACCAGGAGTCAGGAAATCAAAAGACTAATTTCCTTAGGGTGTCTGCTGTCAGAGACCTCTCCAAAGTGCTAAAAAGCAATGAAGTCAGTCTAGAGACTAAGGTGCACCTGATCCAGGTCATGGTCTTTGCAATAATGACTGAGGATGATAAAAGAGTTGTGGTTGGAGTTGGAGTTGTGGTGCTGGAGAAGACTATTGAACAGACTTAATTATCCCAAAAGAAAGGTTTAAAATGAGAAAAAATAATAATTTTAAATAATTAAAAGGTAAACTGGGTAAACAGAAAACCAATTTCAACTGTATAAAAGCAAATAGAGTAGTTATATTAGTAAGGGAAAAGATAGATCTAAAATAAAAATATTTCTTTTTTCCCAATGGAATTCATCTTTTGATTTCCTGACTGCTGTTGCCAAGACTGATTGTGGATCCAAACAACTATATTTGTTAACAACCTCAATCTCTTCTCCATTCATTATGGTGCTGCCAAGTGGCCCAGTGGTGAGAATCTCTGTCTTCTTGATGTTGAGTTTCAATCCCTGTAGGAGGTTGCAGTCCTTGACCTTCTGCAGCAAGCGCTTCAGGTCCTCCTCAGTTTCAGCAAGCAAGGTTGTGTCATCTGCATATCTTAGTGAGCCTATATAATAAAGTAGAATTGCCATATAGGGTTCCCTCAGCTATAATCTTTCAGGGAGCAAATCACCAGGTCTTTTCTCCTGCAGAATGGCTAGTAAGTTCAAAACACCAGACTTCCAGATAGCAGTTGAAGAACTACCTATTATGCCACGAGGACTCCTTGTTTAGTGGTTAGGTTCCTGTTTATTGTTTATAATGATCCGTTAAGGAATCTTACTAGTTCTTGATTTTTATATACCCTTTCCTGCTGAGAAAGACTACATCCCAATCTTTTACAAATAAGAAGACTATGGGTTAAAAAATTTAAAAAGCCATGAAGTAAATGTCACAGGGCTTACAAAGACATGTGAATTTGCCATTAACAATAGCTCTATCATCCCCAAATAATTTAATTTACAACTTTACGTCCTCCCTCAACAAGAACTTGCTAGAAAGAAAGATATACTCGGGTCTCCAAGCGATCACATTTTTTTTTTAATGGACTCGTTTCAGAATCCACATTTTCATTAACAGGGCATCACATGAAGTCCTGTGCAGTCTGGCAACTCAATATAAACCCTCTCTTAATCCTCACTCTCCAAGTTAAAAACGGAAATACCAAAACAAAACATCACTCACACTCTCTTCTGCCTTCTGCCAGCTGCTTTCTGAGGCACCTTCTTGGGAAGCCACTCCTGGATGTGGAACACTGAGAGCAGCACCTAAGTAGAAAAACAAAAACTCTGTGTGTGAATTCAGTCCCTGTGTAGCTCAGAGTTCATACCACAAAATAAGCAACTGACTTCAAAACCATCCCTACGAGTCATTTGTTTTTTTCATCATTTGCTTTTTCATCCTGCATTTTCAGTGCATACTAACCTCCAGACACAGCCCTATAGTCTTCCCAGGAAAAGATACAATCATGGCTCATCCATATATTCATCAAAAAATCATTCACTGAGCACTCACCAGTTGCCAGGCTCTGCAAGATGCTATGGATACAAAAGCAAAGTTCCTAACCTCAAGGAATTCACTAAGTTCCTCAAAGAGTAAAGAGGGAAAACACCAAAAATAATAATGCTAGCAGAAAAGGAAAGAAATTGGTGGTGGTGGTGGTGGTGGTGGTGGTGGTGGTGGTGGCTGTTATGTGCCATCAAGTCATCTGCGACTCACAGAAACCCTTTGCTCTGAAGCCAGCTCTATCTTATGTTAGTCTCACTGACTCTGTCACATCAACCTCCCATTACCCCAGTTATTGTGTCAGTCCATCTCATTTGGAGTCTTTCTCTCCTGTGGTTGTCCCTCCACCCTTCCAGGCATGATCTCCTTCTCCAGGGACAAGTCCCTCCTGGCCACATGCCCAAAGTATGTGAGATGGAGATTTAAAATCTTAGCCTTCAAAGAGAAACGTGGTTTCATCCTCTCCAAGACAGACCTGTTTGTTCTCTTGGCAGTCCATGGTATGTTCAAGACTCTTCTCCAGCACCACAACTCAAAAGCATCAATTCTTCTAACATCGTTAGTTACTGTCCAGCTCTCTGATGCATAGCAAGTAATTGAAAAGACCATGGTCTGGGTTAGGCGTGCCTTAGTCTTTAGACTGATTTCATTGGACTGCTAGGAAAACAGATTCATCCTGGAAAGGGTTAAACTGGGCGGCTCCTTAGAGGCAAGGATTCTGAGGCCCTGTCTAACATACTTTGGACATGTTATAAGGAGGGATCAGTCCTTGGAGAGGGACATCATGTTTGGTAGGGTGGAGGGACAGTGCAGGAGGGGAAGGCCCACTATGAGATGGATTGATTCGTGACTGGGGTAATAGGGATGGGTGTGTCGGAGACAGTGCAATCGGCAAAGGACAGAACAGAGTTTAGGGCTGTTGTACATAGGGTCTCTATCAATCGCAAGTGACTTGACGGCACATAACAACAACAACTTCAACAGAGAGGTCCCTAATAGCAAATTTTCCCAGTGCAACTTGTCTTTTGATTTCCTGACTCTTGCTGCCAAGAGTGTTGATTATAGAGCCAAGCAAGCTGAAATTAACAACTTCAATCTCTTCTCCGTCTATCTTGGTGCTGCAAACTGCTCCAGTAGTATGAGAATCTTTGCCTTCTTGATGTTGAGCTTCAAGCCATATTGGCCTTCTGCAGCAAGCACTTCAGGTCCTCAATCAGCAAACAAGCTTGTATCATCTGCATGTTCCAAGTTGTTGATAACTCGTCCTCCAATCCTGATGTTGGACTTCTCCAGACTCTCGAATGATCTATTCCACATTTAGATTGAAAAGGTATGGAGAACAGGATGCATCCCAGATGCACTTATTTCCTAATTTAGAACCATGCTGTATTTCCTTGCTCTGTTCTCAGGACTTTTTCCTGACCCAAGTATAGGTTTCGCAAGAAGGTATAAATGTCATGAGACTGACCATGAGCTGATCATTGCTGAATCACCATACTATTCTGATAATCTTTGTATATGTCTCATTTTCTTACAAAGAAAGTTCAAAATATTTTTTACCAAAAATATAGAGATCAAAGAAGTAGGCTAATCTACACCATGAAAATGCAGTTAGAAAATACCATTATTCCAGAAACTCTACAGAACCTGTCTGCTTCAATAAATTAAATTGAAAAAATAAGAAATAGCAGTGGGGATGGGGAGTGGTGAACAAATAAAAATTAGAAAAGGAGTCTAAATCTTTTGTTTTAATAAAAGACTTAAAGCCATTTAAAAATAATACAAACATTCAAATCCATCAGAGGCTCTGCTGGAGGAGGGGCAATCTTCTCCTGTACCAGTCAGATCCGATTTGATGGTACATGCACAAAAAATAATAAAAAATTTTAAAAACAATAATAATACAAACAAATTAAGCTATGATACTTAGGAATACACATACAGAGAGTGATGAAACTATAAATTATATATATACTATAAAAGTGAGACTAGTGGTAGCCTTAGGGGAATGAGAAACATCATGTTTCACTTAAAAGAATTCAGTGGACTGTATATTGGTTTTAAGCAGTTTCTTATACTTGTATTTTATTTAACATATTCATAACATAATGCACTTATATAACAATGTACTAAAAAATACTACTCATAATATATGTCTTAAATAAGTATACGTAGATGAGAGGGGGGAAAGGCATCCTTTTTTTCTTGAGATTCCTCAACAACATATGTTGTTGTTGTTTTATGTGCCATCGAGTCACTTGCGACTCATAGCGACCCTATGTACAATAGCTCTAAACTCTGCTCTTTCTTGTGACAATCGCACTGTCTCTGACATCCTGATAACCCCAGTCACCAAATCAATCTACCTCATAGAGGGTCTTCCCCTCCTGTGCTGTCCCTCCACTCTCCCCAGCATGATGTCCTTCTCCAAGGACCGGTCTCTTCTTACAACATGTCCAAAGTATGTTAGACAGAGCCTCAGAATCGTTGCCTCCAAAGAGTCACCTGGTTTAACCCTTTCCAGGATGAATCTGTTTGTTTTCCTAGCAGTCCATGGTACTCTCAATACTCCTCTCCAGCACCACAGCTCAAAGGCATCAATAAGAAGGTAAAATCTTCAGAGTTCCAAAATATGACCTGAAAAACGTGTTTGATTGCAAGTCTTTCTTAAACCACAAATAAATAAAATGAAGAAAAAGCACAATAGCATACATACCTCCCAGTGTTGAGGTATCTTCAGAGGGAACCGGAGATGATAATTTAGGGCTGGGGAAAAAATGTTCAGAGTTAATGAAATGATAGCAATAAAATTTTATTTTGATGTTTGCTTTCCAAAAAGGAAACCACTAGAGATCTCTAAACATGAGTTTCCACATAAAAGTATTGGCTGAGTTGTTGCTATTGTTGTGATTGTTATATGCCGTCAAATTGCTTGTGACTCATAGCAACCCTGTATGTACAACAGTCCTAAAACCTGCTCTATCCCTTGCCAATCTCATTGACTCCGACATGCCTGTCCCCGTTGTCCCAGTGACTGAATCAATCCATCTCATCAAGGGTCTTCCTCTGCTGCTCTGTCTCTCCACCGTCCCAAGCATGCCACCCCTCTCCAAGGATTGGTCCCTCCTTGCAACATGTCCAAAGTATGTCACATGAAGCTTCAGAATCCTTGCCTCCAAGGAGCAGCCTGGCTTCACCCTCTCCAGGATGAACTTGTAGTAGAGTTTATTTTTTTTAAAAAACAACACCTCTTCATCATTTATTTATTTTTTATTAATAAATTCAGTTATTAATAAATATCTATTCAATCAGGACAAAGTGGTGCAATGGCTAAAGAATTCAGCTACTAACCAAAAAGTCCATAGTTCAAAACCACCAGTTGTTTCACAGAGTAATATAAGGCAATCAGCTCTCTTAATGATTTACAGATTTAAAAACCTTATCGAGCAGTTCAACTCCATCCGATAGAGTGACAGTGAGCTGAAATTGATTCTGGCAGTGAGTGGACTGAAACAATATCTCTTATTGATGTATTTCCTGAGATGCTGTTCTGTCACTCTGCTTTATTCTTCTCAGCTGTTAACTAAATGATTCTGTTCCTTTATTACTTGTTTATCAACTACATCCATTGCCTCATCCTTTATCTTATTGTTTACTATGGTAGCTAATATGGTAGACACATATAGTGGTTTAAATTCATTTAAAACAACATTTTCCAATGCAGTCCTAGAGTCACTCTAGTTATATTTCAGGTGTTCAACAGCGCATGTGGTTGATGGCTACTGCCTGAATAGTACAGTGAAGAACATTTCCATCATCATACTCACTACCATTAAAGTGAATTTGATTCAGAATAACCATCAGTTTCTGAGGCTATAAATCTTAATGGAAGGAAACTATCTATTTTTCTCCCATAGATTTGAATTTGAACCACCAGAGACACAAAAGCTTTTGATTAGCAGCATTGACATGTTATTGACTACACCAACAGAGCTGTCGCCATCATTATAGAAGGTCTATGGAGCAGAACTACTTTAGAATCCATAGTCCATGAGTATGGGGCCTTTGCCTGCCAAATCCCTGTTGTACCTCCAGCAACCATTACATGTCCTTTATGTAATGGAACACAGCATCCATGAATGATTGCATCAAACACAACATACATACACAAAACATGTTGTATATGAATGATTATTTGAAATCCATTAAAAATTATATGGGGAAAAAATTGAAATTTTTAAAAAATCTTTATGTCAGTAATTATATTTGGGCTGCTAGTCAAAAAGCTCAACTCTTTGGGCCCACCAGCTTAAAAAAAGAAAACAGCACATGTTCTTTAAAAATTAGAACCCCCTGCTGTCCAGATGGTTCTAACTCAGAGTAAGTCTCCATCAGGTTCCCTGGGCTGTGAATATTGATGGAAGGAGATTGTCCATCTTTCTCTCACAGAATAGTCAGTAGTTTCAAAGTGCTGAACTTTCTACTAAAAGCCTGCCCTGTAGTGGTCACCTTTTGGTAGCCACCATTTATGGCATGAATGAAACTAAATGTCAAGCAGTGTAGAAGGCACTTTACTATCACCTAGAGTGAAGCTGAAGCAAGATGATGGCATAAGCAACTGCATGCTCCCACCAACACCTCACAATGAAAATAGAAAACACCACGCAAAAAGGAGTGGATTTTCAGTCTCAGAACTCTGGTTAGTAGTTGAAGAATTATAGCATTTAAGCAAACTCTGAATTTTTTTTAATCCAACTTTCAAATTATAGAAGTTTTCCATTTCATTTATTCTACCATTAGACATTCCACCCTTCCCACATGTTTATGGCAAGCATTGTGCCAGAGGCTACTCACACAGACAGGGTGCTCCCTGGTGCAAAAGTGTCTGGAAGAGACTCTTGCCAGTGGATGTATTTGTCTATTTTTCTGTTTGGAAGCTGCGTGAAGGATGACACAGTAATCTCTCCCAAATTAGATGCATTTACACTTCCGATTAGAAGCTAAGGGAAGAAATGCATCAAACAGAACCCAGAGGAACTGCCTACACTTAATCACAATAGTATAGTTAGTACATGTGAAGCTGCTGTAAGAGTATTTTGCATAATTCAAAACTGGCAATGCTGATAAGTGCCATTGAGGTGATTCTTTTTCATAGCCCCCTATGAACAGCAGGTCAATACCAGCCCTAATCCTGTGCCATTCTCACCATCTCCAACATGCTCAAGACGACTGTTTCTGTCATTATGTCAACCTATCTTGTTGAGAGTTTTCATCTCTTCCATTGACCCTTACTTGTCTCAGAACACTTGTCCCATCTTTTTCCAAAGACTGGTACCTTCTGACACTGACAACATGCCCAAAGTATATTCCTTTAAAAAACACACTGCTTGTACTTCCTCAAAGACAGAGTTGTTTGTTTTTTTGGTAGTCCACACTATGTTCAATGTTCTTCTCCAGCACCTTAATTCAAAACCATCAATTCTTCTTCAGTTTTCCTTATTCATTTATCAAACTTTCACATGCATACAAAGCAACTAAAAATGCCAAGGTGTGGGTTAGACACACCTTAGTCTTTAAACTGACATCCTTGCTCTTTTACCACTTTAAAGAGTTCTTTGATGGCATATTTCTCCAATGCAGCATGTCTTCTGATTTTTTTACTGCTACTAAGATGTGATACTACTACTCTTGGCACCAGTAGTCAAGAAATCAAAAGATGCATAAAATTGAGAAAATCTGCAGCCAGGGACCTCTGCAGAGTACTGAAAAACAATGATGTCAGTCTAGAGACTGAGGGTATGCCTGATCCAAGCCATAGTTTTTAAAATTACTTGCTATGCATCAGAGAGCTGGAGGACGATGACAAAGAATGACAGAAAAAGAATTGATGCCTTTGAGTTGTGGTGCTGGTGAAGAGTATTGAACATACCTTGGGCCACCAGGAAAACAAACAGGTCTATCTTGGAGAAGGCGAGACCAAATTTCTCCTTGGAGGCAGACATTTTGAAGCTCCATCTCACATACCTTAGGCACATGGCCAGGAGGGACTAGTCCTTGGAGAAGGACATCATGTTGGAAGAGTGAAGGGACAGCACAGGAGAGGAAGATCCCAAATGAGATGGATTGATACAGTAACTGGAGTAAAGGGGTTATGTGTGTCAGGGTCAGTGAGACTGGCTCAGGATAGGGCAGGGTTCAGAGCTATTGTACATAGGGTCGCTATGAGTCTCAGATGACTCACTGGCACACAACAACAACAACAACATTTCATTGGGTAGTACTCCATTGTGTATGTAATTTATTTATACATTTATCCTTTATTGGACACTTTAGTTAGTTCTATCTTTTTGCTGTTGTAATACTCTTATCTACCTCAACTACCACTTGACAACCTTTATGGAGGTAGCCCATATTCTTTTCATGGTCACCAAGGATGGTTTCATGTGGTTTTAATGAGAGTGGCCTCTATAAAGCAAATAACTTAGAAGACAAACTCTGTAAGAGTCCATGATGAAGCAAGGCAAGCTCAGTTGGAGTAAGGAGGGTGTAGTTAGCAACTATGTTTGAAGAGCACAGTAAAGGGGTCACAATACAGCATAGCAAAGTAGGATGGGAATCTGTAAACAGAAGGAAGAAAAAGCAGCTCTCACCTGAGCCAGGACAGCAAATGGTCAAATTGTCCTCCACTTAAAAATCAAACTTAAGTTCAATACCCTAACTCAGCAATTCCAAAAGGAGACATTTCCTTGCTTCAGTAGAACAAGATTTTGTCTTACTGAATTCAAAATAACATTATTTTAGTGATGGGAAGAAGGAAACTCTCAGTAATTAAAATCACTTGTCTAATACTCCAACATTGAATCCCATACCCTCCTAGTCTCCTTTCAAATGACAGGAAAGAACACTTAATAACAAGAATCCTTTCACATGTTCTTATTAGGTAATGCCACTCATTACAAAACCGGGACACAGAGTTGTATTGAATTTGGACACAGAAATTGTTACTGTACTTCTAAGCCAAACCACAAACTTTTAGTCCAGCTAAAACTCTAACTTAATACCAGCAGCAAACAACCCCCCACTGATTTGTTTCCTCAGTACATTATTCATTCTTCATCGCTCTTGCCTAAGCAAGCCAAAGGAATTCAGCTGGGATGGTGGCAAAATATGCACAGAGCCACATGGAACAAATTTTAAAGCAATGTAATGCAAGCAAAGCATAAATTCACATATCTAGATTCTCGCTCTTTTGACAATTTTCCATACTTGACTCCATACTTTACTTTCCTCTTGAACCCATTAATAATTATTAACAACAAAAGAACTCTAGGCAAAAAAGTAGGAACCCCAGGTGGTAGACTGAGATATGTCATTAACTTGTGCATGACTTGAGAAAATGCCTTATTTGCTCTGAGCCTCAGGAACATAATCTCCAAAACAGGAACAATATCTACTTGCCCCATTTCACGAAGTTGTTGATAAAAGCTGAGGGATATGCTACATTAAGTACATTATGAAAAACATGAAGCAGTAGCCAAACGGAAGAGGAAAAATAGAAGTTGAGAGAGCACGGACACATGCCATATCAAACAATAAAACATTTTCTGGGAAAATGATTAACTTTCGCTTCCAGTTAGTGATAGACACCTTCAACTATAAATGTAAATCTATAAATGGAGGTAAAAAAACCCCACATATAATGAGACTATCACCAGAGACCCATTCATGGGCATAGATGATGGGACAGAAATTCGGGGACTATTTAA